GGCAACCTAACTTCTGGTTTTTGTTTTTTTTTCGGTATTTTGGAGAATAAGTGCGAAATTAAAACCGATTTTTTATAAATTGCTCAGTTGCTAAGTTTTATGAGTTTTATCCTTCATGGTACTCTAATGAAAGGTCTCAACGAAAGGAATTCATTTCTACCAACTATAGCCCTCCTCCTCGACCTCTTATCGTGATCGGGTATATTCCCTTATACCTCAAGAACGGATTGTCGGAAAAGGGTACTCAAAAAGGGCAATTGAGACGTCTGCAAGAAATATATCCATTGGTGATGTAAAAACAAAAGCTATTTCGTTTAAAAAAATGCGCTTTATCTGCACAAGAGTTGTGCACAATTTATACTTGTTTATAAATCTATATAGGTATTATAAATAATAAAGTGGGTGATACATAATAAAAATAAATATCCCTTATAAATCAATATATTTAAGGTCTTTTATAAACTCATTATTAATTAATTATAAATACTTACATAAATCACGCAGTGTACATCCGTACTTACAAATAAACACCTAATTTGTGATTTAGAAAGACATCGCTCATTCTGCGAAACGTACACAAAAAATGAGAATCTGAATTTTCCTTATTAAATAATGTAATAATAAAGGCATTTTCAATAGACGAAGTGTCCACTATTGGTCTAAAACCAATCCACGTTTAAATAGAACGTCAAGGCATCAAGGTATTTATAAATATTTGTGGGATTGTAATGCTCGTTGTAATGTAGGTATGTTGGTATGTAAGTGTATTTAAATGTATTTAAGTACAGTTATTCAAAATACCTACTGTACAATATTAATTATTACGTTATTCTCGCATTTATTTATTTCAGTCGGAGTTCTTGAAGACAAATGTCGAAACAACTGTAGTAGGTACCTCGGTAGGTACTTCGTGTAGTACGTAACCTACTTACACAACGTGAGGTTTTTTCAGGTTGAAGGTATCAATTTTTGGCATTTTTCCGCAGGCGCTTGATGGTAGGCAACGAGGTAGGCAAACTTGGTTACAAACGTAGGTATAAGTAACTAAAAAGAGAACGGGGAAGAGCACAAATAACGATATAGTATGATATAGTTAAAAAGTAATATAGGATGTTATGTGCTCATTTTGAGTAATATAATAAAATATAATACTTATGAAATTTAAAAAAAATCAATATTATTAAAAAAGGGTCAAAAGTTTTTCAAAAAATTTATCTTTTTTCAATATTTTTGAATTTTTTTGAATCACTTGTTCCGTCGATTGTTTCATATTGTATTAGCAAAAAATAAATCAAATCAAATGTAAAAATTAGTAGGCGGAAGAAACGAAACTCGCCTTCCCCTGCGCTAGTTCTCCCTACATTATGAAAAATTATATTAGGTATATTATATAAGTTAAATTATGAAAACATAAGTTTTCTCAGAGATGTTTTAACGGCAACCATGAACCACAAGCGAGACCACAAGCTATTCCAACGTCTTCTTCTGTTACTTAAATCCCAGGTTAAATCCATCTTGCTAGATGGAAATGGCAAATAAAATGAGAAGATTAACACGCAGTACATAAAATGAAAATCAAAACAGTTCGCCCACAGCTTGCGCCTCGGTCTGCGCTTTGCTTGCACATAATTAGGTAGGTACCGCCTCGGGTACCGCATAGGTCGCCGCATAGGCTAACTCTGAGGCTAGCTCGGTACATTAATAATAAAGAGAATTTTGGATTGCGCCGCAGCTCACGAATTTCCATAAAAAATAGCAGAGAAGATACGAGGGGTTGATCACTCCAAAAACATAGGTTCCACCTGTGCAATATTGCACACATTGCACGATTATTGCAGACATTGCACGATTATTGCACACATTGCGCGATTATTGCACACATTGCACGATTATTGCACAATTGCACCATTATTGCACACATTTCACAAACATTGCGCCCATTGCACAAATATTGCACACGTTGCACCACTATTGCGCGTATTACACAATTATAATTGACTGCTTAAGCGTAACTATGTATTGTGGTGCTATTACAATATTGCAGACATTTCACGTAATCCGGGTACCTACATTACGTGTTTTATCTTCCTTTAAGTTGCATGTCTTAGGACCATTTTCATAATTACGCTAAAGTCTCCTTTAGCTAAAGTCGACTTTAAGGCAAATTAATGTTCTTTCTGAAGATAAACATATTCATAACTATATTCAACTACTCCCTAACTAATGTCCCTGTGGACCTTAAAAATTAAAATATGGTTAAAGTTCTCGTTAAAAGCTATCAAGCAATGTTTTAAAGCACCATGGCATGGCCGCAAAAACGAAATTTAAACAAGAAAACCACCTTTTCGTAATATTTACGAATATACATATATACATTTATTTTGTCGATTTTAGCAAACACTATATTTTGACAAATCCTCAGAAAACGTGTGCCGCATTCGAGTGTCAATACACGGTTCACTTAATTTTAAAACAATGTCTTGGTTTGAAACATCCGCCACATCGTCAGTTGCAGGGAACGTAAAAAAATTTCCGTGTCTTCTAAAAAATTTCACTTCATATACTTCCTCATTACGATTATCGGAATCATTTAGTCGTTTACTTAACACTAAGCCAATGTAATGTTTGTGGCTTTTCTTTGTTGCAAACTGAACTAAAACATAGTTTCCAATTGAAAGTGTAGGCTCGATTGTATCCGTCTCAGGCGATGTTATAAAAATCAAATTTTTCTAGACCTAATGCTTATATAAAATTTTGGAGGGAGTTGTAATGCCCCCCCCCCCTCTCATGAGTGCGTCCCTGATTTTTTTAAACATCTGATGTAATTAGTTTCATTGTTTTGTTGCCTCGAATAGATTTTGTTTTGTTTTTAGCTTCCTAGCATGTGCTTGGTGGTAGCTATTGCGATAGCCGTTTTTTGAACATTTCAAAATTTCATCAAATATCGACGTTTTAGACCATTTTAAGCAACTTTTAAAGAATAAAATTTTTTTCCGTCTGTATGTACGTACCTACGTACGTACGTACGTACGTTTGTTGGCAATTTTCTGAGAAAACGGCTCAACGGATTTTGTTGAAATTTTGTATATATGTTTTAGGCATACCGAACAGAAGAAAGCAAACAAAATTCATGCGCAAAAATCGTGTTGCGCATGCGCAGAAATGCAATTTTCTTATTTATGGAACAATTAAAACGAAATTTGGATGGTAGGTCCTCCTAATAAAAGAAAACAAAATGCATGCGCAAAAAATCGAGTTGCGCATGTGCAACATCAACTTTCTTATTTATGGAGCAATTTTAACGAAAATTGGATGGTAGGTCCCTCTAATAAAAGCAAACAAAATGCATGCGCAAAAATCGTGTTGCGCATGCGCAGAAATGCAACTTTCTTATTAATGGAACAATTTTAGCGAAATTTAGATGGTAGGTCCTTTTAATAAAAGCTAACAAAATGCATGCGCAAAAAATAGTGTTGCGCAACGTCCAACTTTCTTATTTATGGAGCAATTTTAACGAAATTTGGATGGTAGGTCCCTCTAATAAAAGCAAACAAAATGCATGCGTAAAAAATGCACCTTTCTTAAGCTTCCTTGCGAAATTTCATCAAATGTTGACGTTTTAGATCATTTTAAGCAACTTTTAAAGAATAAATTTTTCCCGTCTGTAAGTGCGTACATATGTTGGCAATTTTTGGTTTCAGCTAGGAAGCTATTCTGTCAAGAATTTGACACCTGGTTTTTAATTCATCACAGCCTACTTAATTAAAATCGAGATTAAAATATAAAAACCGTTGATATAACTGGTATCTTATTTTCAATATTATGTTATGATGGCTCGTTGAAAAGAGAATTAAAAAATCTATCAAGTAATCTAAAAATCCCATATGGCGCCTATTTAACTTTAGGAAGTTGTTAAATGTTCCTCAAAAGTAGCCATCTTGAATTTTTTTTTTACCTCAATTCTAAATTAAACGTATCAAAGACAGTAACTTTTATATAAAACTTTTTTTTATATCTCTTATACTTTCGATGATATAAGACATTCAAGGAAATGACCAATTTTAGTTTTTTTGAATTTACGTCGAACCTATGCGACATTTTGAATTTCCAAAAGGAAATTTTAATTAAGCATCTAAAAATACAAAACATTGCCCATTTAACCAATTCTCTATCCTTAATAATAACAAAGTTATCCATGCAATCCCACCCGATCTGGGACACACTGTATACCGCGATCTATAACACTTCGCACCCAACACCGCACAGCGCGGTTATAAATATTACTCACTCGAAAGACAAAAACCATCGTTGCATTTGTTTCATACTTCGTTTTATACCGGTTAGGTTCCTAATTGTGGGCGCCGAGGCGGCTGCATATTGCGCCTACTCCGAGCAGTAAAGCTCATATTGTATTTTACGAGGTATTATTATACGTATTGCACAAATATTGCACGCATTGCACAAATATTATTGCACACACACATTGCACAAGTATTGCACGCATTGCATAAACATTGCACACATTGCACAAATATTGCACGCATTGCACACATTGCACAAACATTGCATTACTACCCGCCCACCTATTGCACACAGTGATTAACCCCTCGAGAAGATAATCTAGACTCTGATGTTTTTAATTAATCGTGTCACATTTGAAATATGCATTTTTTGGCACAAAACACAAAACTTTAAATTATTAATCGAGACGGTCAATGAATTACCTACACAGTTTGGCACATGCAATTATCAAATCTTGGATCAAATCGTAACTTAGGTACACCCTATACTTATTTTGCTACAATAGCCTTAAGTATTTCGTAAAAATAAACCACCCAATAAACTCGTACCTACTTTAAATTGAGGATGTGATGACTGAAAACCTGGATCTACTACAATGTCCTATTCTAATTCAAAATCTCATATTCTCATCTGTTATAAACGTAAAGAGCTCAACGAGCGAGCTCAACTTCCAATCCAAAATAATTCCCATTTGGGAATCAGCTCTTCCGAAAGAAGCTTAGACCGCCTTCAATTACCTACTCATCGAATTACTTAACGTTGATTGTAGTGTAGACTTTGGCACTCACCTGATCAACATTCATTTCCGGCATATTCTTTTCCTCGAAATCCAATTGGGGTTGCTCATCGCTAGGCTCGGGGGAGTACGATTTCACTAACACTACGATATTTTCCTCGTCTACAGTCAGAAAACTACCGCACTGAGTGTTCGCATTTTGAAAGTTCGCTTGTTGCATTTCGGCGGAAATTGCGACCGGCTCTTTCATATCGCACTCCATTTTATTGCGAAACGGGAATACAGGTGTTGTGCGTTTGGGTTTAAATGAGTTTATTACGAGCGATAGAGAATTAGGTCTCCGGCGCTGCGGAGGTTAAAATGTGTTACTAATTATACGAATATTTACGCTACGTTAATCAAAAAACGCAAAGAAACAGGAAGCATAAACCAAAATTAGCGTGCAAATATTATTCATTCATGAACAGCTGATTTGTGTTAAAGGGATGCACTAAAAGTTAAGAGGTTAGGAGGATGTAAACTAACGTTTGATGTATGGACAAAAGTATGACGTTCAACAGGAAAGTTCTTAAAGTGAGGGAAATATAGACTCCTTAAATTATAAAATCAATCCACTAATCCTTACCAAAAACATGCAAAACATAACCACAAATTCACAACAACGTTTATACGTATTGTAAACACACACGTGCTTAACACTGGCGCCCTCTACCCCAGATACCGTTAGTCACCGTTAAACAGTAATTGTAAAATGGTATCAGCTGCATCCTTGGTAATATAGATGTCAGTATAGTTATGAGTGCGCCAAAGTCACTAGATGCAATTTCCCAGTGACTTTAGGCATGCTTTAGCCGCTTTAGGCACAGATAAAAGAGTAATGTATCCGTGCTTTATTATTATTTATATTTTTAAATTGACTGGGAAGATTTCAGAGCAGTTGTCACGAGAAGCTTACATACTTTGCGATCTTAGAATACTAAAGCGTACCACTACACATGTACATATTTCTATTTTCTACGTAGGTATACTAATAGCTCTGCTCACCCCATGTTATAATTAGTATATTATTCAACGAGCAAGTAATAAACATGAACATTTTATTTCATGTATTTCATGAACCACTTAATCAACATTTCATGAATATGTTATTAAGCCGCAGAGCAAAGCCATGCAAGCTTTATAGGGGAGTCGATGGCGTCCGTCTGTCCGTGAACACGATAACTGTCAAACGCTTGGACCGATTTGCTCTTTGCACAGTTGACCTATATGCCACAAGTAATAAGCCTATTGAAAATAGGTCAAGTCCAATGACCCCTTGGGGTCACGTGTCTCTGTCTCTGCCAAACGCTTGACCCTCGTGAAGATGCCATTTCACTTTATGAACATTTAATTTTATAAACATTTCAGTTCATGAGCATTTCATTCCATAAACATTTCATTTCATGAACATTCCATTTTATTTCATGAACAGTTATTCTTATTTCATGAACATTTCGTCTCTTTTAATGAAGATTTCATGTCATGAACATTTCATTTCATGAATATTTCGTTTTATGAACATTTAATTTTATTTCATAGACATTTTAATTTCATTTCAGAGACATTTAATTTCTTGAACATATTTCATTTCGTACATTGCATTTCAATAACATTCCATTAACATCTCGTTTCCTGAACATTTCATGATCATTTTATTTTATTTCATAGCCATTTCATTTTATGAACATTTCGTGTCGTCTCATACGCATTGATCATGAACATTTCACGTATATTGAACATTGCATTTCATTTCGTGAAGATTCCATTTCATGAATATTTCATTTCATGAACATTTCATTTCATGGACTATTTACGTCATCAACGTTTCATTTCATGAGGATTTAGCGTCATTTCATGGCCATTTCAATTCATGAACATTTCGTTTCGTTTCATAAACATTTCATTTCGTTTCTTGAATCTTTTCAAACTCATCAAGAGCAAAATGCAATGATTTCACAATTATATCTCCCTCTTCTTGCATAGCTTGCTTGCGAGCGGAAAAAAGCGCTCGAACGCGGAGCACTTTACGTAAACGCTCGAGTATCGAGCACCAAGCGGTCGCTCCGAAAAGTGCTCACGAGCGGATCGCTCGCAAGCTCTTTTTTCGCTTGGAGTGCTTTTTCGAGCGGAACGCTCGCGAGCAGTACCCAGCTCTGATTAAGTGCACTAAAAATATTCCTGCTGGCCAGATAATTTATTGTATCCTAGTAAACAACGTAAAGATTAATTGTAAATAAACAGTACCTAATCAAATTTAGCGTTTTTTAAATCCGCACGGAGTTATACGCGGTTCTAGTTTAATTCGCCAATAACTCGCATAAAAAAGCACGCAATAAAAATGGTACCTAGTCACTATCGAAGTTCGTTGCTACGAAGCGTACCTCGCACCCCTATTTTTCCACTTTTCCTTCCCATCTCAACCGTGTAGGTACATTTTTGATCTTGTTTTGCCCAATATTTTTGAATGACTTGTCTCTTTTTCACAGCAGCTACTTCTATTGGTTGGCTTTCCTGGTGTAATATTTGACCTTGGCATGCTTATGTTTCTGCTTGACATACCATTTTTTGAATAATATCGTGCAAGGTTAGCGTTGTTTCAAGCTTCCCTTAACGGATACATGCGGTTCTTACTGTTTGCACCATGTAGTACTACGCTAGTACTTATTCAGAGATATTTATTAAGAAGTAGACATAAGGATTTACGGGTATTGTTTTCCCTGTCTACTTTTAAAAGACTCATCTGAAAAACGCCTAATTTTATGCAACCAAACTTACTTCTTAAAACAAATAAAGATCTGACTGTCATATTAATTAATTTGAATACTGTTGCTTTGGATTCACAGAAAATAAATCTCTTACGCTCCTTTGACTGTTACCGGCACTACACCAATTCACAATACCAACTTTTTCTTCAGTGGAATACATCGCACAAGCACTAAAATAAAAATACGGAAGCCAAAGCCCCAATATTCAAACTAATTAAGATGACAGCCAGATCTTTATTTGTTTTAAGAAGTTAGTTTCTAGGTTAGTTTGGTTGCATAACATTAGGCATCCTTCAGAAGGGATATTGTCTTTTAAAAGTAGACATAGGGAAAAACACGTAAATCCCTATGTCTACTTCTTAAAAAGTATCGCTGTACATTTAAGTAGGTAATGCTTTATTAAATAGTATGTGACACAAGCTTATAACTAAGTAGGATCACAAACACATGAAAACAAATGTAGTCACATAGACGGTTATCTATTGGATAGGATGAACTAAACAACAAAATTGCTTGCACCATTTGCTCACTACAGCTCCCAGGTGTATCTTTCTTCTGATCACCTATGTCTGACCACACATTACCCATTCATGGCTGATGCCCTGATGAACATATATAACAGCGACATGTGTCGCTGGCGTTTCTAACCCTTCCTTCCTTCCTTTGTAAAAATAAGCATTTTCCTAGAAATTTGCAAGATAAATTTATAGTCATTTTGAATGATTTATTGGTTAGTATTTACAATACTGTTTTGAAACAGGATCATTTCTAGTGTTGTTCAAGACGTCTGAGAGTTAGTATCACAATTAAAAAGATCTAGACAAAGCAGAAATAAAATTTATTTCAATAAACAACATTTGAATGTATATGCTTATTTTTATAACACGCTATAATATGGTGTAGCATCAAATCTCCCTGAACACATGGACCGTTGTAGCTAACAAATCTATAGCACAAAGTAATAATAATTATACTATAAAATAAAATATCTCTACCTATACAATTTTAGTACGTTTTTACTCGCATTCTTATTTGCATTTGCAAATTGATTTAATTCTATAACAATTAATTGACGCAAAGGTGATGCAAAAGAGTGTAAAAAAAGCTTCCTCAAGACGTGTGTGTTTTTTGGTGATTTATATTAAGTAGGTACCTTAGATATATTCAATAAAATCTCTAATAACTTAGATTAAAGTGTTATCACATGGATACTTTGCAGGTTTCATTAGAATTAGGCCTAGTCGTCATGTAAGAGATTAGACAATTTTTCGCAATGGTTAGTTATGTCTGGTGTAGGCTGTAGAGTGTAGACGTTGCAATTGTATGGAAGAGGATTATAAAAAACAGCTAGGCAGGATTGTGATTTTAAGAATTTTTCTGGGCATAGTGGAGAGCACTTATGTAGGAGAATTGTGTTACTCAAAAAACATTCGATTATCATGGTTGCGTTATCTTCTGCACTTCTATGGCAGTAGCCTTAAAATTATATACATTAGATTATCTTAGACTCTAAATCAGACTGTAAAAACTTGAAGATATGAAATGAGAAATATAATATTCGATGTTCACATGTCGGCAGCTTGAAGCAGTTACATACAAATACTTAGTACTATTTCAGAATGAGCATTTACTTAATGAAATTGCCTCAAATTTTGAATACACCCCTTATTGATTGCATTGCAAACTGAAGTACCTACGTAATGGAATACTGCTATTAGCATAGGCAGAACTTCACTGCTTAATTAACTCAATAAATCCAATTCACAGGCACCCACTGATGTTCAGTTGCTAATGACTCTAACGCTTCTATGATTTTTCTAAACGTGGAATCAAAGTCGTTGTTAGTGATGACTAAATCAATATACTGGTCAAATGTGCGTTGCATGCTTGCACTATCCTCTAAAGTTCTCTTGAGATCTTCTTCCTAAACAAAGTGTTACTTTCAACGTCAAACAGTAGGTACCACTATATCACAGTGATACAACAGAACGAGCACTTACCTCATACAAAGACGCTAAAGATTCTAAAGTTCGCGCCCTTCTGGAACTGTATCGAATTGAGCTCTGGCGGTCAAACTAACATGCAACAAATCATTACATTGAACCAAAGATGCAAAAATAAAATTTACAACAATCATTCCCATCAAAATCAGGACAAACTTACCGATAGATTTCGATTGGAAGCTCTTAAATTTCCAGTACTCCTAGAGACATCATACAAGTCCTTCAATTGCTCCATTCCAGGTGCGGCTATAAAAATTACGTATGGTAGGAAGTCGGTACTATTTCGTAGCAGTTTTAGCGCTTGAGGACTGCAGTCCAAAATGCACATTTTCCCCTAAAACAAGAAGGAAATACAAAGCTGACCTAGCAAAAATCCACACACCTGCTTAATGATCTCTCGAATTGTGTCTAAGTGCGTTCCATATAAATGACCATTATATTCGCCATGTTCCAAAAATTTGTGGTTTTTAATTTCGTCCTCCATTTCGCTCCTCTCGGCAAACCAATACGTTTGCCCATTTTCTTCTAAGACGCGAGGAGGTCGCGATGTCCCTGCCAAAACGTTAAAATTTCCGAATTACTTCCAATGCAACTTACATGGACAAATCGTGCCAAACTTCTCGGGATCGCTGTTTATTAAACGATTTTTAAGAGTTCGCCTTCCCACGCCCTGAGTGCCTATCAACACCAACGTCTTTCGCTTGAAAGGAGGCATGCGCGTGACTTCCTCGTATAATAGCAGTTCGGCCTTGTCGAAGTCGCTACTGCTTTTCGATTTGTAGAGATACTTCTTTTTGCGTTTGGCGATCCGTGCGCCGCATATTCCAATTTTGTGAACGAAATCTGCTTCTGGAACGACGAAAGCTTTTCTACGCTCTTCCAATTCTGGAGAGGGTATCAGACCCGCCGGCCCGTCCAATCCATATCGCTTGGCCTGCCACCAATTTGGATCTTTCTGGTCCACGATTTGCAAAATGTCTCCGCGGTCAAATTTGAGTCCTATCTCTTTGCATGGAAGAAGAGTATCTTCTTGGGGATCGTACTCAAACAAAGCACGCATGTAGCACTGGAATACGTGGGTGAGTTAATGTTTGGTAAAGTACTCCTAAGGGACATCTAATCATGCAAGTCTACTGTGACACGGACATTTTGTACAACGATTTAACGTACCGTGTTGGAATCCATTAGTAGAAGTTGATGGTTAAAGTCGAGTAAAGCCAACTAATAATAGCAAAGTGAAGAATTTTGGTTAACTTTTCCAAAATGTTAGTAACAAAAGGATCGCAAATAAAAATAAGCTTACCGTTAACTTTTTTTGTTTACCACCAAGTGTGGTTCCTGCGGTTACCTGGGCAGCATGTGTTCCGGAAGTCTCGACCGATTCTCTCGGACTAATCTTCAGCGTAACAGACTCCTTTGCACGAGCGATTTCGGTTTGGAGATCTTCAGGTGTGTAGACGACGGCTCCGTTGACTTCCAAAATGATGTCGCCCACATGAAGCAATCCCTGCTTGTCAATTGAGCCGCCTCCCAGTATCCTTGCAATGACGAGATTTCCTGCTCCGTCAACTTCGACCTGCAAGGAAATGAGTTACAGATTTGTATTTAAAGAAAAAATTATTAATGTACCGTAAGTCCAAGGGGTTCGTCGTACTTTCGACGTATGCCCACCATGCGTATCGTTTCTGAAGGCATTCCGTTAATTTCCGGAAATATGTGATCAATTTGCGGTTCTCGATATTCTCCTTTTCCCTCTCCTATCTGATCGTGTGTATTAATTAGAGCTTGAAAGTGTGGTTTCGATAAAAGTCTGGCCAATTCTCGAGCCTCTCGTAGTTTCGATCGATTACAACGTAAAGTTAATTCTTTGACAAGAGCTATGTTGCCCAAACACACCGGCTTAGATAACTTTGGATGGTCTTCTAATCGATCCTGTACCTGTTATGATGGCAATAAAACATACATTAGAATAATAAACGCATTTATTTAATCTTAATGTATAAGCACAGTTACAAAATACTTGTTTATCTAGTGCAGTAGTAATTATCACGAACCGCGTGCTTTAATACAATAACCTTCCTTTATGTATAAGAAAGATATTATCTAATTATTGCGAAAATATGTCTAATGCTAATAAGTGGTATGCACTATGTTCTTAAATATTAATGCACTACTTATTTGTAAAGTCATGTTTAGTAGATTTGATGGTTCTCTTGGATACTCCAGTGGTAATAAGATACAGAAACTGAGCCTCAAAGCTGACATATCCATATCCTTGCACGCGAATCTTTTTTTCGATATCGATCCCTATATTTCCTTGTCTGTTGACAAAAGTATTATGAAAGTTTTGATAGTTACAATAACTATTAAAGCGTGACGTATCGTCTTACAAGGCAAGGCAAACCCAACTTTTGAAAGGAAACCGTATTTTGCGTCCATAAAAGCAAGAAAACCACCAAAATTACACAAGATGACTCTATATAGGCACAGACAACATATACTACAGACGGTCAATCTTAAGGGGAAAAAGCACGCTAGTTTTGTTTCAGATGTCCCCTTATTTAAAAACCTGCTATCCCTCTATTTTGCTCCATCTATTAGCGTATACAACAATGTGTTGGTTCTTCTACAGATTTCTTTTATTGGAATGGTTTTGCAAATTGTCATGGGAAAGAAGTATTGATACTTTATTTTTAGAAAGCTGTCCCACAAGAAATCCCCATATTTACATCTGGGCGAAGTGCTGATAATCTTTGCAGGTACACATACAAAGCAAATATCACTTCATATTCGCAATTACGTATTACTCGTTGTGTTTGGGTGCATAAGAAATGATATAACTTGCACCACTTTTCGAATTCTCGAAAAAAAAGTGTAATCTCCCTGTGTGTTTATATATCTACGTACCCTCCTTGCCTACTTGTCTCTCAGTTTGTGGAATAAATCTTGCAATCAGCAATTTAACTTCATTTAACTTGGATAAAGGAAACCTAAACGTAAGCAATGTTCGAATGAATATTTGCCTCATATGTAATAAATCCCATATGAGGTGTGGGTGTGCAATTATCGGTCAATTACAGCGGTAGGTAATTGCATTGTAGAAAACGAAAGAGCCCTGCGATAATTGCACATTTCATGGGAATTTTATAAGTAGGTAAGGTGAGTTTGTAATGTTTATTCGGGAAATATTCCCCCGAATTACACTCGTGCATCAAAATAAACCTAATAATTTTTAGCGCATTTTCCAACGAAGTTGGGTGCGCTATTGCAGCCACTTTCTCTGTCCATCCGACTGTCCTAGGCCACAGTTTTCAAGATATTTAAGTAGTTCGTTCTTTTGCATTCGGTATAGCCGCATCGCTCTGGTACCTGAGTCAAAGAAAATCTGCGTAGGACGCGCAATATCAACTGCGCAGTTATAAATGTCAACTTCCTTATTTATGAAGATATTTCTTTAAAATTTTAACCATAATATGCCTCTAGTAATGAAAAACATAGCGTACATAGGTATGGTCTTTTGGGGAAGTATTGATCAATTTATGGAAAATGCGCTGACGTTACTCGCCTTAGGGCGAAAACCTTTTTAATTGTTTATTCAAGTATCTTATCAGTAAAAAACTGCGTTCGGTTATTTTCATAATTTGTTAAAAGAGCATTTTGATGCACTTGTGCAATTACCAACGAAAATTGTCACAAAGCAAAGTTTTAATAGCGATCCTCGAGATGGTTTATAATTTTGTATCTATTACTGTCTACCGGTTTAGTGTGTTGTTACTTCACTAAACGAAACCATGTATATTGTGTGCAAAAAATCCCCTGAATCCGTAAATGACAGTCTAGCTGACCGGAAACTCCGGGAACATATTGCTATACACAAGAAAACGAAGAAAAAATGGGAAAATGTCGTTTTTTCGCATTTGACTTAATTAGGTATCTCGTTAACTATTCCTCTTACGGAAAAAGTGAAGAGAACGAATTTGTTTAGAATCGATTTTCCTATCAGATAGAGATACAGTTGGTATGATTTTTATTAAACAGAGTGCCAAGGGCCTATTATAAAGTTACTTTCTTGTTCTATTTCTGGGGTTTCCACTAAACTAATTCCACAGTCCGTCGATTTGCAAAACTCATCGGGAGAACAGACAATTGTTGGAATAGGTTGTTTTACGGTTCCACCATCCATAAAAATATTGAAAACGCTCTGGGAGTCATCCAGTTTGAAAGACAAAGCATCGAGAAGGGCGTATCAACAAAAACAAATGTTAATTTTTGGGTTACTTTTTTTGTATTTTTCCAGAAAAAACAATAACATTTAAAAATGAACGGTTCTGTACCAACTGAAAATTCGATTCTAAACAAATTCATTTCTATGAGCTCGAACAATAGTTATAGTTGACGAGATAATTGCAAGTCAAATGCGAAAAAAACTGCATTTTTTCTTGTTTTTTTTGTGTATAGCAATATGTTCCGGGAGCTTCCGGACAGGGAACTACATAGAATATACTTGGTTTCGTTGTGTGTAATGAAATCTACTGAATGAGATTGCTGTTCATCTGATACGATAAGGGACCGAGGGAAAAGGGCGGTATTCGGTAAAAATATTTAATATATTATATATATCCTTTAATGGTTTCGTTGTTCTAACCTTCCTGTCTCAAAATTTGACAGTTTTTCGAATTTTTTTGGAGCGAAACTAAATCGCAAGGGCGGCTAAGTATTGCATTATTGAGGCACAGAGTAAAACCTATCCTACTGTCACATAATTTGAGGCATTTTATGGAAAAAAAGAAATTTTTGAAATGACCTTCGCCAAATGTTTATTGTTTTTTTTAATTTCAAATGGCATCCACCTAAACAAATAGCTCTGGATAACCGAAAATACAACATTTCCACTGATAGAAAAAACCACACACTCCATAAGAAAATTTCAAAGAAAAACAAGTGAAAACGTCAATGTGTAGGAAAACCTTCCGAACGCTCGTAGATGTTATACGTATACCCTGTATACATGTACAGGGTGAATCAACGATTACGCGGAGTAACTTAATGCCTTGAAGATTTTTCGATAGAGTGCTTTTGTATTATGATATGGTTGAATATTTTCCAAATTTTAAAAATATTTGGAATTATACAGGGAACACAAGGAATGGTACATTTTTTAAAATAGAACCCCCTGTATTTGAATGCATTTTTGAATTTTACGTGTAATTGTATGTCTTTTTTATTATATGGTTAATATCCGAAAAACTAGTAGTTTTAAAGATAATTCGATTTGTAAGAAAAATTGGGCATTTGCAAGTGTCAGTATATTGTCAAAATTTTTATTTAAATTTTGATTCCAGGTTTTATATCTTTTATCCTGGGTTAAGTAAAAGTCAAATAAATACATCTACTATGAAACATTAACAAAATAATAAATAAAGTTGCAAAACTTCATATTAAAAAATTTCACTTTTTTTTTAAATGAAACACCCTGTATATTTTTCTGTGATCTTTTAGCTCTTCCAAAAACCTTCAACTTTTTACGAGACTTTTGATAATAGTGTCATATACCTATCTCTGATATTTTTCAAAATATCTTGGTATTTCTGGTTTTTATATTCTAATCTTAAATAAGTTATATGTAATTTACATAATACCGGGGCCATGCAAAAAAGGCAATTTTTATTGACCTCGTCCAAAGCTAAAATCATATTTATTAATTCATTATCCAGTGTTCCAGACAAAATCTTCACCCTTTATAAACGCACGTTTCTAATCGAAATTAACGCCTTAGGCCCGGTTCACATGAGCTGCTAAGTAATCGGCACGCCGAGATTGGTTTCTATCGAGATAGGCAGAAATACGTTGAGAGTAAAGGGGCAATGGGGCGCCCGATACCCTGCCCCATTACTTCCAACTTTCCGACTATCTTGATAGAAAACAATCTCGGCGTCCCAATTACTTTGCAGCACATGTGCACCGGGCCTTAGCTGTCATTACGTAAAAAAAAAGAATGCTTCGTTATATATCCATGAAGTTCAAGGAGATGTATTTATTTCATTATCTTGCATCAGATATAAAATAAAACAATCAGTTGTAAACAAACATTTAAATTATAGATAAAGAAACTGAGTGGCGAGGTTCAGCATTGAGAGACGGCTGCGCATGCTGTTCTTCCACCTAATCACAGAAAACAGAGAAGAAGAAAAAATTGCTTTGTCTAGGACAGATAGCGTACGATGTAATAGTTTGACAATAATATGGAAAAACGTCAGAAATTGACAGTTTTTTTGTTACTGTTTTGTGTATGTGCGATTCTGTCCCAAGCTTTTCAGCTCTTCTTTTTATGTCATATTTTTAGACATAATCAAGAAGAGCTGAAAAGCCAAATTTGGTTGTAAACGGTTTAGCCGAAAATGAGAGTACAGACCTAGCGACATCATCGAGATTTTGTTTGTTTCGGATTCTTTGTGCTACAAAAAAGTGGGAGGAGGGGAGGGGGCAGTTTTTACTCCCAACGCAATACGTGCACAGTGGAAAGTATAAATGAAGGAAAACGGCTAAAGAATAAATTAAATAAAACTGGAAAACAAACGAAACATTGGTTTAAATCAGTTCATCAATGTTTGCTTGAATACTCTTTTAAAAGGATTCAAGTGGAGCGATTTAAGAGAACTCGCGGAAGACTATTGTAAACAAAAGCAATTTGATAACTGAGCGATCTTTTACAAAGAGCCACTTTATTTTTTCGCTATAACTTTTGTGGAAATGCCCAAAAATAGACGTAACGGCAAACGACGTATATTCTTTCGTACACATACTTACATGAGCACGACCACATTGGGTGCTTAAGTATTTTTGTTGTAATTAATTCATTATAAATCCGTATTCGTAAAATTTCATTGAAAAAGAGCGCATTCGCATACATATTCCGTTATATCTGAGTTCGACAAAAT